AGAGAGAGAGAGAGAGAGAGAGAGGTTACGGTTCTACCGGGACTGAATGCCACGGAACGTTCCTTAAAAGGGAACGCGAGACTTTGTCTTAGAAAGATCTCTCGTTGCCAGCTTGGAAACGCGCATTGGAAGCAGAGTTTCCCGCGGTTCCGCTCGAAAGGTGAAAGCAATTGCAGGCCAGGACGCGAAAGTGGCCGCGTCGTCAAAGAATCGGCTCTTTTCAAAGTGGAACGCTCGCATTGTTTCGCCTCATTATTCACTTGAACCAGTTTCCACGAGCATCGCGTTCTCCCATTTAGTCTCTGCACGCAGTCGGCGAGTCGTCCCGTTTCATCGAACTTGTTTCCGTTCTCGCGCGTATCTTCTTCGTCGTTGTTGGCAAATCGCTTATGTATCTTATCTCCAGGCTTCGTGGAACAAACGAGCGAGTGACAACGTACAGGCAGAATGATATTCAGGCTCGGTGCGTGACTTTCGATTCCTTCAGTGAAACGGTAAAGATACCGCGACACGCTGAATAATTCGTCGCGAAAGCATCGTCTGCAAACCAGGCGTAGCTGCCCGATTGAAAAATTGAGAAGAAGCCCTGGACCGAAACTGCGAAAACTCGACGAGTACGCGCGTCGATAATAAGTTCGAGAAAGGTAAATACATAGGGACCGAAGAATTGCGAGCACATCTTGTGAAACGTTTAAGGGGGGCGTAAGGTTAATTCGTACAACCGCAAATTTTTCAACAAATTTTCGCAAAATCGGCTAATTTTCCCTTCAAAGTGTTCCAAAAAAGTGAAAAATTGAAATTTCGAAAAACTCTCCCAGCGTTACCTGGGGAAAACTGTTACCTAACGAATGAACTTTGATTTTTTGATTTCAAATGATCCAGCACCAAGTTATGAACAATTCTACCTTTTTCCCGAGACACGTCCGAATAATTGCTGCCATTGCCGTATTTTTTAATATTTCTCCGTGAAAATTTTATATAATATTCTTCGAATGTCATACTTTAATGTACTATTGGTTTTAATAAAGAGATTTTAGCTGTGTCGTCACAAATAATTTATAAAAACATGCCTTATTTTGTACGAATTAACATCCCCCACCTCTTAAGCAGCAAAAGAAGGAGAAGGAGAGAGAAAGAGAGAGAGAGAGAGAGAGATTTCGAAATTCCATTGTGCGGAATCATTATTCACTTGGACTACTTTTTGAGAGTATTACCCGGCGGCACGGCGTTTTCAGCCAGCGGGATACCTGCGTTCGAAGTCCGCAAGATGCATGCTTTTACATGGCCATGTCATCGACGTTGAACGCCATTGTTGTCGCAAAATCACCTCTTCGAAGCGACTCTGGAAACCACCGAGGGACTGCGTTTCGCGCAACCCTCTTCGCAAATCCTCTTCGAATTCAGTCTGTGTCTATATTTTCTAAGGGAAAATCGAGGGATAGAAAAACGCGGAGAATAGGCCCCTGGAAATTAATCGTGTTTCTTTGTTCCGAGTCAACGATAGATTGCTTTCCCTTTCTTTTCTTTCTTCTTTCCTTATTTCGTAGCCTCGCGCAAGTTGCGTCAAACAGTTTTTATAAGGTAAAAAATCGATGGCCATTTCTCGCGTTGAAGTTGGCCCTCGAGAGAGCTACGTGCTTTTATTTGTACGCAAGAATCCGCCTGGCAACGGGGGATCATGTATTCAGCGGCATGATTTCGTTGAAAATACAGCCTCGAGCTACGCTCAGAGGAGCAGGAGCGGGAAAGGGGCGAGTTTCTGGAGAGCGGTGCGCCGTTCGACATTCCACTGTTCCTCGAGTGGGCTGTTTCTTCGAGAAAAATTAGGGACATAACTGTGCTTACATAAAAATCTGACGGTTCCCGGGTCCGTTCTAACAAGGAATTCATAACGGTGCCTGACGCTCGCAGTTGCAGTTTACCACCCTTCGCCCTGCACAGACTTTCTGGTTTGTTATATTTTTCCTTTTTTTTTTTTTTTTTACTACGTAACTTCGCGATATCGGGACGAAAGGAGAGTGCTACGGCACCATCCGTCTGCTGGATGAATGGTTAATCAAGCTCGAAACCCGATTTAGCGACAGCACGTCAGCCGGCCAAATTAACAGAACATTTTCCTCGAAATTTTCTGATTCGCGTCGAATCGTCGGCTCTTCATCCCGGAATAATTAATCAAGCGCGTTTCACAGGAATCTCAGTAAATCAAGCTGTGGTCTCCGCTGAAGATATTTGGCCCGGGCTACTTGAAATTTTGTCCAAGATTAACAAGACTTTTAATCGATTTCAGCAACAATTCCAGACAAACCGATATCTCGATTCCACGAGCTTCAAATTTCAAAGAACGTACCGAGAGAAATTGGGGATTTCCTCGGCAGGAGGACGACGATTATCGCGATAAACTCGAGCGTGGTCGCATTGGTGGGTTTCGCGAGAATATTCCGTGTGAATTATTGGCCTTATCGACGGGCGACGCTCGCCAGCAGAACTTGGACCGCGGACCCGGTGGCTCGTTTAATTCGCCGATAATTACGTTCAAAGGTTTCGTGAGAGAGCGCCGCTGCAGCGCCAGGATCCTGGCAATTGTCGTCGAAATGCGGAGGGTGCGAACAGCTGCGGGGCGAATGCGGCGTCACGTCGTCATTGTCGTCATTGTCGTCGCCGCCTCGTGCATACCGAGTCGCAGAGTCAAGGGGGAACAAACAATTAGAACGGTAAGTCGAGCGGGCCAATTAGATGACTGACTGTGTTTGAGAACGGTGAAAGGATAGCAGTGAGAGAGAGAGGCTGCCACGTTAGCGATACGCAAGAGAACTAATCGCTGAGAATAATTGGATTAAATTGCGGGCTCGCGTATCGCGCATTTCAAACCTGCTGCCTGGCCTTACCTTTGATTTATACGATATCCTGGCTATCTCGATAAAACCGACAAAACCTCAGGTGTCTTGCTTTCAAAAGGTTAATTTGAAATTCAATTCGTTTTATATAATATTTATCGTAAATCACGCGGCCGAGAAACGCGGCATATTTTTCTAACGATTGG